AACTTCTCCCCCAATTCTCTCACCCCTAATAATTCTCATTAATTTCCAAAATTTAACCTGGCATCCACATTTTTATATACCCCAACCTTCCATATTTGTAAACTCTATTAAAATTTCATATATATATTTTTTTTTTTTTGGATTAGCGAGAAGGTTATATGTTTTACCTTGACTAGACAGAGTTCCATTGAGCTCACAAAAGGACACAGACAAAACTTTAAGAGAGTTTAGTGTTCCAAGGCTCTGAAGAAAATTATTGTGAAGAGAAGATTCCTTCAAAAGCAATATTTCCAACTCCTTGAAAGGATGACTATCTGAAGATTAAGTCCTCAATTAGTATTGGTAGCTTGGATAAAGTGAGATAATGTTCAATACAAACACTAAAATATAGGTAAGCATTTCCTTATCTCTTTTTTTTTTCCCCTTCTTTTTGCATCTTTGCATAACTTACCTTCAATAGTCACCAGTTCTATAGATCTACTCCTACTAAGGTCAAAGGTCTTAATTGAAGGAAATGCCCTAATTGATTGCAATAGACAGCTTCCACAAGTGTTTTTGTTGAATCTTAGACTTAGGATTTCTAGCATACTCAAACTTCTTATATTTACAAGCAAAAGAGGGAATCAAGACAAGCTCCAAAGCTACAAAGATGTGATCTTGTATCAAACTTGTGATCTTTTAAAAAGCGCATATGCTCAATAGTAGCCTATGCTCAATAGTAGCCTATGCTCAATAGTAGCCAATGCAAACACAACCTTAAAAATTTTGCTTGAGCTTGAGCTAAATTTTTCTCTATTGACGTATAAGTAAATTACAGTTCAATAAAAAAATTTTATGAGTATGAAACCAATGGGTTAAGTGTTCTAATTCTTTTAGGGATTTATTGATGAAAGGAACAAAATGACTAGGCCTCATTATAACCAAACTTTCTAGTTTGATCATGTGCACCTTTGGGAGCCACAAAACTTTCCACTTCATTTTGCTTAAATCTAGCTCCTTCAAATTGTTTAGAGCAACTAATTCTAGTGGAGACAATATACAAATAGTTAAATAAAAGTGAGGGAAAAGAAGCAGCATTTCATTAGAAGGATATTTAATGATAGATGAAAACAGAGAAAAGTGAAACAATTGATCTACTTTTAATATTTAGTATTCCTTTTAATTTGTTCCTACTCAAATCAAGACTCTTGAGAGATGAAAGCCCTCTTAGGGAAGACAAAGTTGTGTTATTAAAAGAATTACTCCATAGATGAAGCACTTCCAAATTACTTAGGCCTAATGGTCTTTTAATACCTACAACAAGGTTTATTGTTTCATCAAAAAATTTATGAGTATGAAAGTAATGGATCAATGTTTCTAATTCTTTTAGGGTATTTGTTGATTAAAGGAGCAGAATGATAGGGCCTCATCATAACCATACTTTCTACTTCAATCAATACCTTTGGGAGCCATAAAACTTTCCACATTATTGTAGCTTAAATCCAGCTCCTTCAACTCATTTAAAGCAAATAATTCTGGCAATCACAGAGACAAAATGAAATCAGTTAAATTACAATGAGGACAAAGAAACAAGATATCATTAGAAGGATATACAATGATTGATGAAAACAGAAAACAAGTGAAACAATTGATCTATCTTTAATATTTAGTATTCCTTTTAATTTGTTGCCACTCAAATCAAGAATCATGAGAGATGGAAGCCCTCTTAGGGAAGATAAAATCATGTTATTGAAAGAATTACTACCCAGATCAAGCAATTACTTAGTTCCAGTGGTCTTTAAAACCTACACACAAGGTTTATGAGTAATAAGCATTATTTATGTGTTTACAAGTAATTAATGAGCAACTCCAAGTCCCTCAAGAAACATAATGATGTTAAAATTGGATATCATGCCTCATTTCTTAAAGTATATTAGATTAATTGGTTATGTTACGTGAAAGACTACCTGGAATATGGAGACTTCCTTCCATTTGATTGCTTGCTAGATTTAACACTTTTAAGGAGGAGAGACTTGCCAAAGATGATAGGATGCTATTGTTTAATTGGTTATAGCTCAAATCAAGAACTTCCAAATTGCTTAAGCTTGACAACCTTTCTAGACCTGTGCAAGAAATGAATATAGTCAGTTGTGTTGCACAACTAAAAATTCTAATACCATATATCTTACAAAATGAATAATTAAAAATGTTGCTTGATGTGAAAGAAAAGAATGACCTTCATTCTTTATGAAGCCTACAATGTAATTTCCAATCAAGAAAAGACTCTTCAACTCTTCAAAGGGCAAAAACAAAGAAGAATTCAGATTCCAACTCCCAGAGTTCCTAACCCTAGAATCATTAAGAGAGAGCTTAATCACTCTCTTTGTTGTGATGTTGCATTCAATCCCAACCCACTCACAACAATCACCACGCCTTCCCCAAGATGCTAGAAAATTGCTAGTTGGAGAAGGGACTGAATGTTTGAGGTTTAAGAGGGCAATTCTCTCTTCCTCCAAACACCCACAGCAATAAGAACAACACCACCCAGTTACCAAAACAAACATAACAATTGCTCCTCTAACCCATTTTTCCTCCATTTTTTGTTGATTGTATTTTGGCTTGAAGTGATGTAGCTCCATGTTCTTCTTATAATGGAGTTTTAATTTCGGTCAAAGATGAACGCCACTACATAATGCCAATAATGCCATAACCACATATCGTGTTGACCACAAGTTTGGTCTTATTTTTGCTATTCCGGTCAATGTCATTCCAATTCCGATCACAAAAAATAATGCTCCATGTAGATTTCAGTGCACGTGGAGCGCTGGCAATGATTAATCAGCACCTACCCTTGGCTACATTGAGAATAGAGAACTTGGACTCTGACTAAAAGAAAACGAACTTTTATTTAATATATATACTACTTTCTTACTAGGAAACTTCCGTGTCGTGTTGACCACGAGTTTGTAGGGGTGGACATGCATCTTGGTTAACTGAATTTTTTTTGTTATTAAATTTTAAAAATTATTAATTGAACTGAAAAAATCAGTTTTTATCTATTTTGATTACTTTTTAAAAAATAATAATCTGAATCAGTTTCTTATTTTTTTAATAATTTTTTAATAATCGGTTTGTTGGGAAATGAGATTTTCTTCTTACGGTCGAGGAGAGGTTGAAGATGTTCGATGGCATTGAGATTGTAAGAAGAGAACTGTGGACTGTGGAGTCTCACTATCGTTACTGTCTATGCAAGGCTCCTCTAGGACTTGGACCTTTTTTTACTTTCTTTCATTTTATGTTTTTTCTTTTAAAGTTTTTATGTACTTTTTTAGTTTTTTTTTTAATAAATTTAGTTAATTTTTTAACTTATTAAATATAATGTTTAGATAAAAATTTAATAAATTATGCAAATAATAATTAAAAAATTATAACAAGAATTATATAA